GATGGGCAGAGGGGTGGGAGGGGTGTGTGGGGGGGATACAGATGCAGCACAGCTGCAGTGGGCGGGTTGCTGGCCCGGCGCCCTTGGCTCTTTGCCGTTCACATGACTGGCTTTTCCTTCAGGGCTCAGCTGCCCCCTCTGGGCCGTCTCTGAGAGTCTGGCTGGGCGTGGGGGGGGGGCCCACGTTGGCAGAGCGTCCCCACCCGTCTCCTCCTGGTGCCCCGCTCACAGCAGATGGCTCCTGCGCTCCCTGGCCGTGCGGACACATGGGGGTCGCTGACATGGCAGCAGGCTCCTCCCTGGGGCAGAAGCTTGCCCAGGCTGGGCCTTTGGGCGATGGCTGCAGGGTGGAAGTCAGCGAGCCAGGGCACTGCCAGCTGGGTGCTCTGTGCCATGGCAGGCAAGCCGGATCCCGCGCGGCCGCTAAGCGCAGGCTGCCTGGAGCAGGGGGGTCCTCTGTGGAGGGTGGTTTGCTAACACCTGGGGGGTCCCAGCCCTGCTCTGTGCAGCCAGCTCAGGCTTCGCGTGGGCAGAAAGACACTCCCCCCCGCCCGCCCGCCCGCCCTGCTTTGCCTTCACTCCCATCGGGGACTCTCCGGCCTGCTCTTGGCCAGGCCCGTCTCCAGCAGAGACAAATAATTGTGCAACCCCAGCCGCAGCGAGCCGTGCGTTAACCCCTCAGCACCCGGGCTGCGCCCAGTGAGCAGCAGGCGGTGCCCCCCCATGCTGCCCCATGCAGCCGGCAGGGCCCTGCAGTGGGCAGGCCCCCAAAGGGCAGCGAGGCTGGGCAGGCCGTGGCAGTGACGGCCCTGCCCCGGGGCACTCTCTGGATGGCACAAGGTGCCTGGCTGAACGATGCTTTTCTCCAGCCCTTCTCGTCCCAGAGCGTGAGCCTGGGGGTCCCCCACTGCCCCACGTGGCCAGTGCAGGAATCAAGGGCCACGAGCCAGCAGCTCCCAGCATGGGCCGGGGAGGGGCCGCGCTGAGGGGAGGATCCAGAACCACCCAGTCGGAGCAGCTCCTCAGAGCCAGCTTTGGGCACAGCTCCCTCTGGCCCCGGCTGTGCGAGGAGAAGCCAATGCTGCCTGTGCCCTGCAGCCGGAGCCCCTGGGCGGGGTGGGGTGGGCAGCGTGAGCCCCGCAGCAGGGCTGGTTCCCAGCCGGGGCTCCGGCGCTGGTGGCAGCTCTTTGGGGATGCAGGTGGGGCTCAGGCCAGGCCCCCGTGCTGCTCGCTCTGCTCCCAGGGGTGCAGGGAGGGGCAAGGCAGTTGGCGGGGTCCCTGGGCAGGGGAGAGTGAGAACTCAGGGGAATTCACCAGCTTGCCCAGGGCTGGGGCGATCTCACGCTCAAGCCTGCATGGCTAGAAGCGGTGCTCTAGGCAGAGGGGAGCAGGCCGGGGCAGTCCCTGGCTGTGCTCTGCAGGTCAGGCTCTGCCCGGCTTGGACTCTATAAGGGTGTGGGGCCATGGGGCTGAGCAGGGCCCAAGCACAGATCCATGCTGCACAGGGGCTGCCCTGGGAGCCGAGACCCAGAGACCCGCCCTGCGGCCCGAGGAGACCCCCTCTTGGGCTGGCTTCTGAGACCTGATCCTTGCGCTTCCCAGGAACTCCGCTCCCGTCCTGGCTCGGCACAGAGGGGTTGTTACTGGCATACAAACGACACGGGAGTAGCTCAGGCTCCAGCACAGGGGTGGGTATGGGGCGTAGCTCCCAGCCAGCGTTACCCAGCAAACCTCTGCCCTTATCACAGCCCACTGCACTGCCTCGCTGCTGAGCGCACCTTGGCGCTGGCGTGGGTCCGCTGCAGTCCCCAGGCCCTGCGTGGGGCAGGGCTGGTGACTCATTGCTGTGGGGCGGTGTGTGGGGTGGGGCTGATGACTCATTGCTGTGGGGCGGTGTGTGGGGCGGGGCTGGTGGCGCATTGCTGTGGGGCAATGCATGGGGCAGCGCTGCTGGGGAGCTCTGCAGGGAGTCGGTGCTAATGCCAGCAACATGTCCTGGCATCACCTACTGCAGCGTCTGGGTAGGTGTGTGCATGTGCTGGTCTTTGCCAGGCGAATGACCCGCTCCAGGGTCCCCTGCCTTGGGAGAACTCCCCGTGCTGCCCCACGGACTGAACTGCAGATGGATCAGGCCATGGGGGGCTCCCTCCTGATGGGCAGCCGTAGGGTAACCCGACAGCAAGTGTGAAAAATCATGACGGGGGTGGGGGGGTAATAGGAGGCAATATAAAAAAAGCCCCAAATATCGGGACTGTCCCTATAAAATCGGGACATCTGGTCACCCTAGGCAGCCACCTCATGGTATCCCCGCTGGCCGCAGGCTGTGACAGGGTGACCAGTGCCGGCTGGGGCTCGGTCCCTCCTGGGGTCCTCCCTGCCGCGGCCTGGCTCCGCCCGCGGCCCCGGTGCCCAGCAC